TAGTTATTTATAACTAAACTAGATTAAATTCTACTATAGTTCTTTTAAAAAGTTACTTTTATATTTTTTTCTAAAATATAAAAAATAATACTAGCTCTAAGTAATTTAATAAGCTATTTTTATATATTAAAAATAAAAATAGTATAAATTACTAATATATTTATTTATTATTTAAATAATAAATAAAGAATATTCTTTATAATAATACTAGTAGAGTAAATTATATATAATAATACTCTTTATTTACCTATTTTATAAATTATAAATAAGAATTATAATATTATTAGTTTTTCTACTATTTACTAAATAAATTTATTTATAATTCTAATTACTCTAAACTTTAAAAGATATATAATAAATTTAAACTACCTATCTATATTTATATAATATATTTAAAATATTACTTTACTATAATATAGTATTAGAATTAGATAAGTTATAAATATATATATATTTAAATAAATAGTAATAATAATAACTAGTATTTCTATAATTAATAATATTAAACTAATTAGATAAGTAATATTAATATAGAGCTACTAATTTACTATATAATAAATATATTTTTTTTATTATTAGTATAATTATTATATTTTTTTTATTATTAATATATAAATAATATTAGTATTATATTACTTATTAGAATACTAAAGATAGTTAAGCTACTATAATATTATAGAATTAGTAGATTAATATAATTCTAGTATTCTATATAATAGTTATAGTAATACTACAGTGTTTCGAAGCTACATATTTCCAGTATAGGGCAAAAGCAATGTCACGTGCACTTAAGCGCCCGCTTCTCCATATCGACAAACCTTACGGAGTACTCCGTACATAGTTGTGCATCCATACATTTACCGTGCATCAAGACATCGATTCCCCAGACCCAGCGCCCGGTTTAGGGCTTCTAGAACAGAAGACTTGGAATCTAGATCCCACTCACTTACTTTGGCAGTTTACCGTATGGCGGCAACGACAACATTGTCATCCCCTCTTCAACTACTCCGGACACGAGTGACTTCCGATACGCAACTCCCGGTGCTCGCCGCCAGAGCTAGATGGTTAACGACCGAACGACGCGGAGTCGCCAAGTCGAGGGCGGGTGATTGGAGAGAAAAGCCGTGGACTAAATAGCCGTCGCCGCTGCGCTCTAGCTTCTCTATCGTCACAAACTCGACCGCTCGCTCTGGAAGCCGAATGGCGGTGCTTTTGTTCGGTCAACGTCCGCGATATCTAACTGCACGGTTGCCACTCGTAGGCCAAAGACCACACTCAAATTTCAACCAGAGACCCCACTAAGTCGGACGGCAGGAATGGAACTTGTGCGGCGTGCCCATTCGCTTCCAGCTCCGGTTCCTGGATGCGGCGTAGTATAAGTTAGGCTGGGGAATGCACATAACGAAGGAGACCTAAGACAGATACGATCAATCGCCTCTCTGGCAGTGCGCTGATTATTTACCCAGCTGACGGAAGATATAATTTTCCGGAGCTCAACAATTCAGGTGTCACAAAAGAAAAAACACGAAGGCCTTAACGGAGAATTATCAGGTCAGGTTATCGTTGCGCGTGCCTACCCCTGTACCCTGCGTGGTCTGGCTGTGTTGAGAGGCGCATGTTAGCAAAAACTGGAAGTTGTCCGATTTCAAAAACAAAGGAGGGCGAAAAAAAAAAAAAAAAAAAAGGAAGAAGAAATAGGATGACCATATTTAATCCATCTGGTCTCTTCCATCCTACCTAAACCAGAGAATATTTTTGAGGGTTTGATTAAACCCAATAAACATCTACAGTGAGCCTGCTCCAGGTGCAGATAAACTCATGCTGGAATGGTCTTTACTACCCCTGCCTTCACTCGCTTTTTGATATCAACAAACTGGAAACTCCCAACCCTCCGACAATTTATCCAGTGGTCGCCGGCCGTTGCCCCTATATCTGGCATCTCGACCCCGACCGCAGAGAAAAATGTGCAGCCTGTGCGATCAAAATGGCCTCCTTTCTATTTTGACACTGGCTACTCGATAATCCCGAAGCGACCGTCCCGGCCGTTCCCGCCGCCTTTCCTATCGCCGCCATCCACTTCGTTTTCAGATGCCTTGACGACTCATGACAGGAGTCATGATAGACGGCCGTCGGTAAACGGGGAGCCTCTTCGCGGGCTAACAAACGGAGACGATGCGATCCTTTGTTCTCCAAACTTCCTGGGCGTGAACGACGGAGTCGGAGCTTGGGCGTCGAAGCCTCAGGGCCATGCTGCGTAGGTGCCTCTTTGAACCCTGGGTAAGGCTAAACAGTTACTCACGGTTTGTTTTCCAGGTTGTGGTCCAGGTTAATACTGCATTACTGGGCGTTGGAAGTTGAAAACCGCCTCACTGGGTCGCCGAAACCGGACTTGATTGAGTGTCTTCAGCGAGCGTACGAAGAGACCGTCGAGGCGACCTCGTCCCCAAACGAGATTCTGGGGACCACCACCACCGCGACTGCACTCCTGAGCTACAAAATCATAGGAGAGACACCCACTCCGTTCTTGCATGTCACCAATCTTGGGGATTGCCAGACACTAGTTATTCGCCCAAGAGAGAGGCGCATTGTGTTCAAAACCGATGGCCAGTGGCACTGGTTCGACTGCCCCATGCAGCTAGGGACCAATAGTGTGGACAAACCTCGAGAGAATGCAGCATTGTCCGTACTGGAGATAGAGGAAAACGATATCGTTCTGGTGGTTTCAGATGGAGTAACAGATAATTTGTGGGACCATGACGTGCTAGAAGTGGTACTCAAAACTCTCGAGAAATGGGAAATATGCAAGAAGAAGCGAGAGATGGCCGAGTATCTTGAGAGTCGGGGGGGAAGGATGGTATATGTCGCTGAGCAGCTCTTGACCACTGCCAGGGCGGTTGCCATGGACCCGGCCGCGCAAACTCCGTACATGGAAAAGGCGCAGGAAGTAGGTCTGTCTGTCAACGGAGGTATGTATTCCAGCGATCTTGTGCTGTTCTCAACCTAGTTCGTCTTACTGACCCTTGCGTTGTATAGGTAAAATGGATGATATCAGTGTTGTTGCCGGCCGTGTTGTCAGGTCCGGTTGAAAAGCACCCACATCTCACGACGAGCATCGCGGGGCGTTCCACCAGTGTTCTTGTTTTGTATTTTCGATCGAATCGTTAGCATGCATTTGAGGAACGCGGAAAGGATTTGAGCGTTGGGATGGTTGCATATTTCTTTCAGCAATTGGCCGGAGTCTTCACTGGATGTTTATCTTTTGGTTCTTGGGTCATTGGGCTTTTGGCGTTTTATCGGGTGAGAATTGGGAAGCAAATATAATAATCGCATAGAGCGCAAGGTAGAGCCAGCTGCGTCTTATATATACACTCCACACATATTAATATTTTCTCGAATAAACACAAGCCATTGCTCATCGGTATCCTTGACGTCGGTTTTGGATGTTGTTCCTTAACTCTCTCCGTCTCTAACTAAACAAAGTTTTTGTACCCACAAGCCGGCGAAATCTTGGCATCAAATATGCATTTGCAAAGGCCAAAAAAAATACACCAAGAATAAATTCATTCTTGAAGTCATACTTGAGATATCAAGTTAGCTTTAAATTTCTTGCAGCTGGAGGAAAGAGAGCGAAGATACTGCAGTTATGAGGGCGAAACGGTCGAAGAAGTACCAGAAGCTCATGCGCCAGTATGAACTCACGTTTGGGTTCCGCGCGCCGTATCAAGTCCTAGGTAAGGCATTTGAATGTACGAGAACGTTATGAGGAGGGAAGTGACACTGACTATTCATGGTATCTGCAGTGGACTCTCATTTCCTTCAGTCAGTGTATAATTTTAAGATGGACCTTGTACCTGCGTTGGAACGTACGGTACAAGGCAAAGTGAAGCCATGTCAGTCTTACCTCGCACGATCTGAAGGGACAGCTCAACTGAACCCGGCTAACAAGCTGTATAGTTATTACAAAATGCACTCTAGCAGCTATCATGGCTTCTCAATCACCGCGGAAAGACACTGGCCATGCGCAGCGCCAACTGCGACCTCCACAGCTCCCTCCTCCAACCACACTACCACTACGATACTGCTCACACAACGAAGACAGCACACCCATTGACGAGGAAGAATGTCTTTTGTCGCTACTATCACCTAATCCTGATGCGAAGAAGAATAAGGAGCATTTCATTTTGGCTACGGCTGATCCAGCACCGGAGACAACTACTCAACCAGACCAGAAGCGCAAACTGCCACATTGGATGCAGGCGCAGGAAGGACTACAACAGCAGAAGCAACGAGGGCAGAGATATCACTTGAGACGAGATGCGAGACAGATACCCGGTGTACCGATTATATATGTTAAGCGCTCTGTGATGATCCTAGAGCCTATGAGCGAGCCGTCTAGTAATATACGGGAGGGATTTGAGGAAGGAAAGCTACGAAGTGGATTTATAGAGCCTACCACATCCACTGGAAAGAGGAAGAGAGGTGCAGAAGGGGAGGAGGAAGAGGATGGAGATGGAGGAGAGTGGGTGGAAGTCAAGAAAAAGAAGAAAGTCAAGGGAGTAAATCCGCTGAGCATGAAGAAGCCAAAGCAGAGGACTCAGACTGTGCAGAAACCGAAGAAGGCTGATGAAAATACAGCAAAAGGAGACAGTGATAGTGATAAAGGAACAGACGGAGCAAGCGAACAGACAAAATCGAAGCGGAAACGACGGCATAAAAAGAAGGCTGAGCCGATTGACGGAGCTGAGAAGGACAACGATACCCCAATTGCAGATACAGAGATATGAACTGTCTAGAAGCATTGAAACGAATATAGTAATACAGCTTCACGGCCAAACTTCATCTCCTTCATCGTACACTAAAGTAGAGATAACCCGGTATATAATTTGTACAGTGGAAATGACAAAAAACTCCCTAACTCCAAGCTACCCAGGGACATCTATGCGTCCATGATGGAGCCTTAACTGCTCGATTTCATCTGTCCTTGTGCCGCATCCTCGTCCCACAGCTTCTCGATTCTCGCCCTGTTCTCCCTAGCCTTCTCTCGGTTCCGGGATGCCCGCTTCAGTCTCTCGGCGTACAGGCAGCGGTTGACTTCTCGCTTGATATCGTTGCAGTTTCCGAAGACTTTGTGCATGAAGCCCTTTGCGTGGCATTCGTCCAGCATTGTCATGACCTCCTCGCAGTCTAGATGATCAGCAAGTGTCGAGGGCGGAAGTAGAAGCCGTCAACTGGAGCACCTACTGATGTTGTCTTTTGTGTGCAGATGGGAATGCATTGTGGCAGTCGCTTCTTTTCTTTTCTTCTCCTATCCCCTTGCTTTATTCCTGTCTCTGACTGGCTTCTTTTCAGTCTCTCAGTCTCGTCCTCTGCTTGTCTGTTGCTTGCTTTGCTTCTTCTTGTTCCAAGGTTGTCTTCGACGTCAGCTTTTCGGTGATAAAATTCTGCCACAAGGCGGCGAGCGCAAAATCCACCCGATAAACAAAAATTTCTGATAAGGAAAAAAAAAAAAAGTAGCTTCACCTTTTCTTCCTCAGCTACAATTTTTGACAGCTTCATATTTATACCAAGGAGACGACTGACCGGCCATTCAAGACGCTAGAGTCATTATAAATACATTGGACTTATACCCTAGCCAGGTTTTTTGGCTGGTCCTCCGCGCAATTGCAGGTACAACTAGAGACTTGATACTGCTACCAGAGCATTCCCCCGCCATAGGCATTTCCAGCCGTTGCACGGCTTTGGATCGCACAGGATGTCGATGATAACGGCTACAGGATGGGTTCGACGAGGCGTGGCTGCCCAGTTCCCCGAACGCTACGAGATAGACGAAGCAGAGATAAGTCGAATCTCGAAACTCGCCAAAGTTCAGCTTGAAAGTGCGCGGACAGACCTGGAAGCTGCCCGGGATGCGGAAGGCGAAGGGGAAGACGAAGACGATGTTATGGAAACAGTAGACGATGCAGAGGTAGAAAAGGAGAGTGAAAAGAAGGGGGAGGGGGAGAAGAAGAGCAAGGCGGAGGACGAGGATGATGAATTGGCGGAATATGACATGGAACACTACGACAGTGACCCACGAGACGAGGAAGGAGAGGAAGTGACCATGTTTGGCAATGTCCAATCTCTGGCCTACCATCAACCACACGAGAAAGACCCCTACTTGGTGTTACCGAACAAAGCAGACGGCGCTGGTGACGATTCTGACGAAGAGCGAGAGGATCTCCAGATTCTACCATCTGATAACCTGTTGTTGGCAGGTAAAGTGGAAGACGAGGTGGCGCATCTAGAGGTATACGTCTATGAAGACGAGGCAGACAACCTATATGTCCATCATGACGTGATGCTGCCAGCGATCCCTCTCTGTGTCGAATGGCTTGATATTCCCGTTGGCAGCCAGGCCAGGGAAACGGGTCGATCGCATGGCAACTTTGTCGCCGTTGGAACGATGGAACCCGACATTGAGATTTGGGATTTGGATGTGGTGGACTGTATGTACCCTAGTGCGATCCTGGGCAAGGCACCGGATGACGAGGGGGAGCAGCAGCAGCAGAAGAAGAAGATAAAGAAGAAAAGCGTGGTCAAGAAAAATGACGAATACCATGTTGATGCCGTGCTGGGCCTAGCTGCAAATCGCCAACATCGGAACCTGCTCGCTTCTGCATCCGCAGACTGTACCGTCAAACTATGGGATCTGAACAACGCAAACACCACCCGCTGCGCGAAGTCGTACAATCACCACACGGACAAAGTATGCTCTATCGACTGGCACTCGAAGGAATCAACTGTCCTGCTAAGCGGTTCGTACGACCGCAGTGTGGTAGCGTGCGACATGCGCTCGGCAGAGGGCCAGGTTGGTCGCTGGACGGTCCCAAGCGACGTCGAATGTGTCCGCTGGGATCCGCTGGACTCCAACATCTTCTACATCACTACGGACGGCGGTCAGGTAGTCTGCCATGATCTTCGAACACCGGACTCTGCACTATGGACTCTGCAGGCCCACGACAGCTCGGTATCGTCATTCGATGTCAACTCTTTCATCCCTGGCTTCCTCGTGACAGGGTCAACGGACAAGACGGTCAAGATATGGAACATCCTTGACAATAAGCCAAGCATGGTCGTCAGTCGTAAAGTGGAGGAAGTCGGTAAAGTGTTTTCGACTGGCTTTGGACCTGATAGCGGGGTTGCGTTCCGTCTTGCTATTGCAGGTAGTAAAGGGGTAGTGAAGGTATGGGATACGTCAACTAATGGGGCCGTCCGCCGGGCGTTTGCTACCAAGATGGCGGCCAGTGCGGAGGAGATGGGTGTAAGGGAAGGGAGAACCGAAGTCGACGGACAGGGGATGGTCGGCGTTGCTGACGATGGGGAAGAAGATGACGATAGTGACGACGAGGAGATGACATAAAATTGATAGTTGCAAAGGCGTGGATGAATCTAGAAGATATTAATATATCATGGCGTTTCATCTACATGATGTATCACCGACCCAAAGTAAGATATATGTCACTTATCCGACCGTTTGTAGGCCGTTGTACATTATATATATATGAATTAAGACGTATCCGATTCGTTAAATAATTTACGTCCGGCTCCCAAGTCAAGACTGTGTTCTCCATTTCTCCCAGCTTCTTCTCTAGAAGTCTCTCCATCTCCACGTTCTTACCTTGTTCAAGGAGACTTAACATATCCCGCCAACTCCCTTGGTCTCCAATGTATCTCCGGTTAATCAATGCCTAAAACACCGGGTAAAACGCAAAGTTCTTTCTGGCAGCGTAGACGACCTCGAAATTTCCTCTGTCCAATTCTGCTGCATGACGCCCGATAGCCGTTCGTTTTCAGGGAGTCTGCATCTGGCTATGGCTGCTGCATCTTCCTTGATTCGAAGACAGTCTAAGAATTGAAGACGAGGCTGGTAGACTTCTGCCAACCATCGGTACCGCCCAAGGAGTACTCCGGCTGCTCAAGTAGCTCCCACCAGGGGGGAACATGAGAGATCTCGACAGAAGCAGCGTAGGTGAACTCCCAGCCTATCGACCCAACTGCTTGCGGGCCCCTTGTCTAGCAAGATAACCGGTGTCTAGGGCTGTGAGCGCAACATGGTGCCCAACTCTGAGCATCGCCTGGCCCGGCGGTGGGGGTTCCTACTGTCCTGGATCTCTGAACATTGATCAGGCTGAAGCTTGAGATGTTGTATGGACAGGTGGTGGACATGCTGCTGCAGCTGTCCAGGCTATCCCCGTATTGAATCCTGGGGCAGAGAGTCCAAGATGACTTTACCTGGAAGGTAGTTAACAAGCCAGTCACCGGCTTCTGCATCATCATGAACAAGTACCCTCTCTCTCAGACAGCTGCTTGGCCCACGCATCGCAGACAGCATCGCTCTCGTCCCGGGCACCATCTTCGCCCGGCATGTGAGTGAGCATGTTGTCCACTGTGAAGTCGTTAGTTAGATGGCCGGACCTGGTCTGGCCGTGCGAACAATTAAGCTAGCCCCCATTGGACTGTCAGCGCCCCCGGGGAGCAGTTACTAACCAACTTGTTAGATACGAGCCCTGATTCTCCAGAGTAATACTTGTGTCCTTGCATGGGGTTTCATCTTTAGACGGCGGTTAGAGCCCGTCCCTCCCAAGGTGACCATCGCCACCTCCATGCCGCCGTCCTCACCACTGCCTTCACCATCGCCATAGTGGTTACTGTCTTGTGTGTGCGTCAAGCGCCCATGTTATCTCTCATCTGACGTCGACATGGCCCCGTATATGTGTGGACTGTCCATCCCGCCGTCCCTCCGCTCACCCGCCCACCCATGCAACAACAAGTCACTCTCTGTGACCTGGACCGCAACGTGCTGGCGACTTCCCGTGACTGGCCGGGTGCTGTTTGATCGCCCGTCGACGTTTCACCAGACTTCCCGGCTCGCTTCGCGCTGACAGGCGACCAGCACCTAAGAAAGGGGCCCTCCCCCCCCCCCCTCCCCTCCCTCTCTAAAAGCGCTTCTCCCGCCCTCCTCTAGCCCTCCCCTTGCCCTGCCTTCTTCCTCCTGTCTTCTTCCTGGCTTCTTCTTCTTCTTCTTCTTCTTCTTCGCTTTCTCGCTTGTCGAAGCCAGTCTGACTAAGCGGTGCCTGGACTAAACCGAAAAAGGAAGACCCACTCTGGGAAAACCTTAAAGTTTCCCCTCTTATCTAAGCAGCCCCTCTTACATAATCAACCTTCCTCCTTCTTCCGTCCTTTTTTCGTCTTTCTTCGCCTTTTCTCGCCTTCATCGTCGCCGCTCCTTGACGTCTTCTTCGTCTTCTTCATCTTCGTCTTCGTCTTCCTCTTCCTCTTCTTCCAATCTCCTTCTTCCATCTTGTCTTTCTTCTCTTTGCGCCCTTCGATAGAGCGTCCTGGTTGCCGCTCTCACTCGTCCACGTAGATCGTCTCTTACCGCCCTGCCCTACCAGCTTGACGCCCGTAAGGCACTGACAAGGCACAAGGCATCGCTGGCTGCTGTCCTCGCTCTCTTCACTCACTCGAATTCGAACTCGGACTCGACAAGACGGACCATCCCACTCTCATTTTGATACTCGACCGACGTCGTTTCCGTCTCAGCTTACGCTCTTTTATCGCATATTCTTGCGCTTTCACTCGTTCTCCGTCGCGGATCTTCTGCGTTTGCGCCATTTCTCTCCGCCAGTTGAAGGACCAGCACCGACAAACGGCGCAAGATCCCATCATTTAAAAAGGCCGCCGACTCCTTCTGCCATCAATTCACTTCTATCTACCCTCTTTATCGTCGAATCACCCCGGCTGCCTGTTTGATATACAGGCAAAATGTCCGCCGCAGTGTCGTCCTCGCTGGGCCGCGCTTTTACCAAGCGCCAGAAGCGGCCAGAGGTGTCCGCCCCCATGCCCTTCCGCGAGGGACAGCCTCGTTTCGCTGCCGGAACCATCAAGCGATCCAAGATATCAGCGCCAGTCGAGCTGCTGTCCACCACAAACCTGCTTGCATACACTGCACCAGACATCCAGAAACATGGCAATCAGGGACACGGTCACAAGAACCAGCCAGTTATCTCGCGACCCATCATCCAGCGCCAACACTCAAACCTCCAACATTCCACATCATCTTCTTCCTCCTTCCGATCAGCAGACGAGTCCGACGCCAGTAACTCGTTACACACCCCTAGCACCACAATTACCTCTCCGTCGCTTCCAGGTTCGACAGAGGCCTCACCTGTCCTGCGAGACAACGGCCACCAAAACCTGACCGGCTACTTCGACCAGCAAAAGGATGGTCCACCAAAGGCACCACAAGCTTCCCTGGAACAGAGCGCTCCTCCACCTTCCATCCCCACCCGTGCACTTAGCCATACCAAGAAGTCGCACCAGGAACTCTCTCGCCAACGGTCAAACTCCTCAAACGCCTCGGCGGGTCGACGCACCCCATCTTTATCCAACACGTCTTCTCCAAACCCCACCTCTCTCTCCTCAACTCACGCCGCACACTCCGCCGCCGCCGCCGCCTCCTCCTCCTCCCGCTCACATGCACAAGACGTTCATGCTCACCCATTCGGCAAAGAGCTAGAACAAGTCAACGAGGTCGCAGAGGAGTTTTCCGCTGGTCAACTCTTCCGAGACGAAGACGAGAAGACCCTCGCCGCAAAGGGCCTCGTCAAAGTCGATGTAGTAGAGTACCTTGAGGAAGTCAAGGGCGTGTACGCCTACGTCTTTGGCGGAGATGTCGCCAAGCGGGACTGGATCTGATACTTGACCCTGGCCCCACATATCTTGGAGTTGTGCAAATGTGTTACCGGTGGCTGATTTGATACCCTTTTTCTCTCCTTTTCTCGTCCCCCTGTTTTCCATTTCTGTTCTGATGGGTCATTATTTCATGTGATATCATACCATTTTATTCCCTCCCTTCGATTCTCATGCCATGCTCTGAAATGTGTGATGTGTTATCCTATTCCCAACTTTTTTTTTTTTTACCACCTATAAACTTATCACGCTTCGATTCTCAGTCAAATACCTTGTTTATAATTGTATGCAAGTCATCTTTATTATTGATGATTTACCTTTTCTTTTTACCCGTGCGCTTGCTGGTGGCTTGTGCTGTGCATGCTTGATGCATTTACCACAACGTCATTTTGCAGCCGCCATCACACTCTCTTTGTATTCGACTACTTTTCTTCTTGTCCATTATTTTTATTTCATCAGACTAGAATATTATATGGTTCCAAGTAGTTTGATACTATATATATATATATACCTTCCATGGCCTGACCCGAAGATGGGAAAGCATGGGTTTTTTTTTCTACAGAGTAACAGGTGTATTAATAGTCCAGTCTATACGGCTCTCTATGTTTTATATTTAAGAGATCATTTTGTCTGAAGCTATGATATTAAAATAAGTATGGGTATTGTATTCTCTTCTTATCACTAGAACCTGCAGGACCGCCACACAGATCCTTGTCTTAAGCGGCAGCACAGAAGACATCACATCTACTTGTAGTATCCAGGGAGCTCTCACAAAACGCACCGAGCCACAATATCACAATCTTCAAACTTCACAAGGTGCCGCCAACATCTGGGAGTGGGGAATGGAGACGGTGGGGTATCAACCTAAGCCCAGCCACTCAACAAAACATTAAACCATGTCCTAAAAATCTGCACATTCAAACTGTTCCGGGAGACACTATCCTTTCCTTGTTCAATCATCCATATCGTCAAATACCCTTACTCCACAGGCGCCGGTGATCTTTTTAATATCTTCGAAGATTGCTGCAACTGGCGTCATGTATGTTGTCGTACAGTAAGTATTTCCAGCAAAGACGAGACCAACCATGTGTGCGTTATCGTCTAGAACAAACGCTCCGGAGTCACCACGAGCAGAGAATGAATCCTTGGAATTGTCAGGAACAATTGACCATTCAATGCCACATTTCTGAATTGGGGTATCTCCAGACGGACCTCCAAAGGTCCAAGAACGAAGCTTTGTAGTTTCAAGCCCGTTAACGATGCCTCTGGTAAAGCCTGTGGACCGACCAATTTTGAAAACCTTCTGTTCTAACATCACTTCGAACTTCGCATCCGTGACAAGGCCTCCCTGTGATGTTGGGTTGAAATGTCCCGATAAGAGTCCATCCGGCAGCTTGTTTCCTGTCACTCTTTGGGGACTGACATCTATTAGCGCCCAGTCGAGAGATCGCATGTCTTCATTCAGTCGAAGGCCAGAACCAGCATAGACCTTTCCGAGGTAATTTTTTTTCTCACTCATGAATTCATTCGCAAACTGGAGTCTCTTTTCATAAGCATCAATGTTTTTCAGTTGATAATCAAGATACCTCCGCTGTGAGGGAATTAGAAATCCATCTGGATCGTTGGCTACAGATAACATCTGGAAGTACTCTGGCGTCTGGATTTTCGCAATCGCATCTTTGTAGTGAGATATTATATCATCGTAGTCTCTTCGGCAAGGATGGGAAAGTTCAATATTGTTTTTTGGGTCGTTAGGTCGAAGCCCATGCATTTCCCAAGTTTCAAGTGCCGGACTGTCGATATCATCGTTGACTACGCAGTGATAACAGGTAAGGCCACAAGTTCTAGACTTTCCGTCTGGGAAATCCAAGACGATAAAGCCACCGAAAGTTCCGAGTCGTTTGCTATCGTGTAATCCGGCCAAACTTCCTCCAAAGTGAGCCTTTGAGCATGGGTCACTCTCGTTGAAGAAGTTATTGTCAATATCATCGGAGGTATATACTGCTCCCCTCCCAATTTCAACTGCCACATTTTCGAGTCCAGTGGTATTGATAACATTGACAATCTTGTCCCTAACTGGCCGCCAGGAGTACGCGTCACTTGTTGAGCATTCTGGTATCGTGATGACAATTGTGATAATTCCTTCGCTATTTTCTGGACCGCGTCGGAGTACATCCAAGGTAAGCCACATTCTGCCGTTAATTATCTTGAGAATCTGAGGTCTCAGCGTTGGCCAGTGTTGTACAATGGGATCACTTGAGAGGACAGCAGAGGATATTATTGGTATGTAGGCGGCGGGGTCACCAATCTCAACATTAACTTCTGGTCGGCCAGCGGAAACACAAAAAGCCCGGATTTTCTGGCAGAGCTGAAACCAAGTACCATCAATTGGACGATTGCGTCTGGTTTTAGCAATGATCAGGATGACTGGGAGAGGCTTATCACGAGATTCCCTCCAACGCCGCTTAAAAACTGACATCTCCTGGAAGTCGATATTGGACTCCTGGATAGCCTCCATGATTTTGTCCCGCAGTTCCGAATTGAACACGTGGGTTATTGGGTCAGCAGAGGTTATGGGAAACGTAGCAGCTGGCAGACGGCATAAGACCGGACCTCCCACACGGTGGTCTTCACGTTTGATTTCAGGTTCCTCCCGAACCGGTATGGGTTCATCTTCCGAGGATGAAGAGCGGTTGCACTGCCTGAGCCGCTCTCTTTGGGGTTGAGATTCACTGGAGTCTGATAGTGGTGGGGTTAATAGTTGGACGGGGCCCGCATACACCACCTGGGACGTATGCGCAGGTATGTTTGTATTGTCCATCGTGTTTCAAGTCGATTAATGCCGTTAAAAGAGGAGGGGAAATGTTGAATGTCAGGAGTATTAGAGAAATGATTTTTGAGAGTTGCACGCGGGGCCTAGAAAGCTTCAAAACGGTGGACTGGATATCCTGCTTTACTTTGGCTTCAGAAGTCAACACGGACAGTCAGAGCCACATGCAGAGCGTCGCGGGACAAAAATGCATGCTGGAAACAGACATGGTTGAAAATTTTGTGGGAGGGAAGAGTGAGAGAAAACTGACAAGGCAGGTGGGCAGAAGGCCCCTTTTATGTTAGAAGACACCAAGGAGTGGATGATGTCAAACCGAGGAGGACAGTTTTTACTTTTTCCTAGCGCGTCAAACTTTATCGAGCATGACTCACACAACAAAGACGCAGGCCCCACTTGTCACGCGCGTAATTAGCCAATGCAAGAACTCCAGGCTGCGCTTGTAGAGTTGCTGCTTCGTGTTTGCCCAACTAACTATGCGATAAGTAAAGATAAGGGTAAGCTACTGGGATAATAGTGACTTCGTACGGAGTACTGCTATAATATTGAATATCTCGGCAGCACGTTAACTATTCAGGAACATTGTGTCCCCAGCTTAGAAGGATACTCTGTGTAAGTAATTAGAAAACACCAAGACTTGCCAGATAATACTATGAAATTGAACTTCTTCTCAGCCGCGCTTATCATCACAATTTATAGAACTAATTTTCTTCTCTTACTTGCTATTATCACCTTATGTTTAATATATTTCTCCATTTATCATTATTACTTTATTGCTTGATCATATTTTCTTATACTTTTATAGTCAGCGCTTTGTGTACAACCTAGATAGTATGGCCGACTCCCAAAAAGGAAACTGAACACAGGACAGCTGAGTCATCATACGCGTGACTTCTTGGCGCGAACCCCACAAAAGAGAAGGAAAAAAATATTCTTTTTGGGTGGGCAGAAAAAGCATCACCGCCTTTTGAAATTGTCTCTTTTCTGTCCACCACACAAAACGACACGACAAAAAGAAGCGACTTCAGCTTCGACATCGCCAGGCGCACAATAGATAGATAGAGCAGCCAGCTTCAACTTCCACTCTCTCGCTTCTGTCGCGCCTCGCGATCTGTTTGGTTCCTTCTCAGGATGATAAGTTGCGGAGTCTCGGCCTTTCGTCTGCAACATCTGCCGTGATTTCTGCTCGTCTACCCGCCTCGCTAGGCTGCAAACAGACTCAAGAGCACGACGACAAGATGGTCTCTGTTACGCACCTCCCATCGACTCCGTCATCTGTCTCAAAGCCCTCGAAATCAATCCTAAAGACGTTCTCATCTGTCGCTGGCCAGAAACGCAAGCAGCTCGATCTCACGATCCCGTCTGAGCTCTCGACAGGATCGGCCTACTCCGACACCAATGCCAGCCCTACAACCGCCACCACACCCGGCGGTTCTCCTGGTCCCCGCAGAAAACGCGCCCGAGTCAAGTTTGATATCTCCGTGAGCTCGCCGGTGAGCCCAGTAAAGACGATGGACACTGAAGTTGATGAGAAGGCTGCTGAGAGAGAGAGGGCGTTGACGAGAGAGGAGGTTAGGCGCGCCATCCAGAGACACCTGATGGGCCATAGTGAAGGGTACGACCGTATCAAGGAGATGTTTTCGGTCGATCCCAAGGCCTTGGAAGATGATGGAACACCTGTCTTTGATCTACCTAGTCCAGTGTCGCTGAAAAACCATCTCATGGGCCTTTTGGGCAACGTTTCATCGCTGGACGGTTCATGCAGTGGTCTGGTACACGCGATGCTTAAAAGCGAATGGGTCGGCAGAGACACGACGTATGTCAAACTGTTTGCCCAGTTTCTGGCTACTCTATGTGCTGCTCGTGGTGGTTACCTCAATTCTGTCCTTAAAATGCTCGTTAACGGCCTGCAACAAGGTAAGAGCAGTCTCCTTCCCAACATATTTCTAAGATGACGACAGACTAACATTAGGTACAGTCGATCCTCGATGCGGAAACTTGCCTGATTATGATCCTGTTGACAGTTCCGAGATATACCATCGAGTCCACTATGCTATACGTTCAATCGCGCAGGTCGTCCCCGCTTGCAGCGTTACTCTCTCCCCTATCCTATCCTCCAGCTTCCCCCACGACTCCGATCCAGTAAAAAGTCATCTTGCCTACACACGAAACCTCATCAAGATGATATCGTACCTCCCAGAACTTCGATCTGACATCCTTGCCCTCATCACAGAGAAGCTGGTCAAGATTGACGCCCAGAACCAAGTGAATATGGAAGATTTGGATGAAGATACTCAGCAGGATATCATGGACGCGCTAAATGCTGCGGACCCGGCTACCTTTGAAAAGGATGACGATGATGATCTGGATGAGGAGTCCGAGGTTGGTGAGGACGACGTTGATCCGGATCTCCAGCGCATCAAGTCTGTAAAAGCGTGCATGCTCAAGGTTGACTTAATGGTCGACATCTTGTTCGAGTACTACAACTATCCTTTCATCTCTGGCTCGCTTGAAGACCAAGAACAAGTTCTCGATTTTCTCCTGGCTCATTTCCAAAGCATCATTCTTCCATCCTACCGCTCTCGACACGCTCAGTTCGTCCTCTTCCATTTCGCTCAGGCCTCCCCCATCTTCGTCGACCGCTTCGCCACCACATGTATCGAGATCATCCTGAGCAAGTCTCAGCCGGTTATCATACGCCAATATGCCGCTGCTTATCTTGCCAGTTTCGTTGCTCGCGGTGCTCATGTTTCTGGCGATGTGATCCGTGATGTATTCAGTCTACTTGGCTCACACGTCCTATCTCTTCTGTCATCTTACGAGACAGACTGCCGTGGCCCCGACCTCCGTCGTTATGGGCCATTCTACTCCACTGCTCAAGCGCTATTCTATATCTTTTGTTTCCGCTGGAAAGATCTCACCATTGCTGCTGTCGAGGCTGAAGCAGAAGGCAACTCTCTCCCCCACCTGAATGTTGATGAGGTGTCTTTCTCACAGGAGATGACCAACATGCTACATCGAACGATCTACTCAAAGCTCAATCCTCTCAAGGTCTGCTCGCCAGGCATCGTTGCTGAATTCGCCAAGATCACCCACTACTTCGGTCTTCTCTACCTCTACCCGAAACTCGAGAGCAACAAACGTATCCGCATCCACAGCTTCCGCGGTATGGGTTCGATGGCCATGGATACAATGTATGGAACCATTGAACGCGAAACTCGTGCAGACGACAACCTCGCCTTCCAATTAGATGACTACTTCCCCTTTGATCCATATAAGATGCCTCGCGGTGCCAGACGCCTGCGGGGTGATTATATTGACTACAAGGATGTCAGAGTCGTAGGCTTGGATGACCGTGGTCTAGACGAGGACGACGATGATGACACCGCCAGTGAAGACGAAGACGAAGATGAAAACGACGTCGACAGGCACACAGAAACAGAGGAGGAGTAACTCTACCAACATCTACGCATGCTCTTCTTTTGCACATACACCCACTTTTTCTTTTACAGCCATTTTTCTTTCTAATCTTGATACCCCGGTTTTTAACCACTTGCTTGAACCGAACCACAGGACAATGCTCTATCTACGGGCGTCAGTTACCTACCATTTTATCCTATCCTCTTTTTGCTCGATTTAGCGCTGCTCATCTACTTCCCCTTCCTACCTGTGAAAGAACATTAAAAAAGTTTCATACCTACCCATTCCCTTTTGTCCGCCTATGTTAGAGACAGAGGCAGGAATACAGTCTGTCCTCTTACCGTCTGCTTTTATTTAATCTCCATCTTATCGGTTTCCGGGTCTAGGTTGGTGTGGCGTCGTAAAAGCGGCTTTTTATTTGGCCTTTGATATCACCCTTGAAAAGTTGATCTATGTGAAAAGCAGGAGAAACTAAACCATAAATAAAAAGTTTTCTATATTTCCCTCGAATATAATCCTAAAAGATGCCGTAACTGTCGTAGATTAACTGCATGGTGAAAAAATGCAAATGCAAGAAGATACTAGTTTATATCGTACAAGAGTGGGTTGAGAGATGCTGCCCTCCTTCCCTATGCCCGTTCGTTAGCCACTCTTAGCTGCTCTGCCGCCGTCCGGTAAAAAACATCTATACTCTCCTGATCTCTAAGGGGATTGACAGATTTATCCCATGCATGTTTCTGTGACTCTATCATCATCGACCGAACAACCTTGCCTCCTCCGCAGTCCTTGAGCTTTTCCACAAACTCGTGCCCTTCGTGGAGCAGCATGTCCCACTCGCAGACGTACAGAAAAATGTCCTTGGGCAGAGCATCCGCTAGCAGTGAAGGAGGTGCCAGTAAAGGCGAGGCGTATGGCAGATGTCTACTGGCTTCATGAGGCATGTAGCTGTGGTCGAACAAGGTGGTCATGAACTTCGGCAGCGTCTTGGACGGGAAGACGCTTCTGTCACGGCGTATGTGTCTGGGCAGGACGTAGTCGACTATCGGGTACCATGATATGATGGATATTATCCGCAGAGACGAGCGAGGCGTCTGTGACTGGCTGTTATCATTGCTGCTGTCACTGCCGTTGTTCGCGGTGGTGGCCGTGCTTGTCTGTCGAAGCAGATGCTGTGCCGACTGGGACCTCGCGGCAGACGGCCTGCTGGTGCTGCCCGGGGGATACTGCGACAACGTCGACAGATGCAGGTTTATCGAGCTCCCGTCTCGCGTCTCGTAGGGGGTCAGCGTCGTCGACGGCGCCGGCGAGGGCTGGAGCGAGTCTTGCTGGAGCAGATGGCGGCGCAGGGGAACGGTGAAGGCGAGATTCCCGCCAGACGAGAAGCCGGACAGGCTGACCCGCGACACATCCAGCGCCAGCTCGGCCGCATGGTCCTCGAGATACTGCAGGGCCCTGACGCCGTCGTCCACAGCAGCCGGAAAGGGCGCTTCGGGCGCCAGGCGGTATTCCACGCTCACCACGACGCTGTCGGCGCCTTCGACCACCGCGCGAGCCCAGCGTGCGTCGTCCGTCGCCGTGCCGATGCAGAACCCGCCGCCGTGGAAGTTGACCACGACCGGGTACCGGTGGCCGGCTCGCTTCTGCTCAGCGTACCGCTTGGGGGTGTAGAAGTACAGCTTCACCCGCTGCGAGTCGAGCCCGTCCAGTCGAGGCAGCGTCCGAACGAAGGACGGGCGTGGTGGTAGGGGCGGAGGATAGCCGTGGAGGACCATGCCGATGCGCATCAGAAAGCGCAAGATGACTATCTGCACCCGCATCCAGGCCCTGTTAGGAGGTCGCTGTTCCATTATTGTCTCGGCCTGGGATCAGGAACGTCGGCTCGCTTTCGCCAGGTGTTTTTATGTGTGCAGTTGTTAGTTATACAGGCACCGCGGGCACCGGTCGAGAGGACATCAGACGAGCAGCACAAGGCCCCAGAACCGACCAGAAGACGACCAGCCGAGCAGCAGACAGACGAGCCTTGGTCATTCTTAGCCGCGCCGTCGATGTCTCATGCCTCGATCGCACGTCTGAGCAGCAGCCTTGGTCCTCCCGGACTTCAGGGACAGAATAATCGCCCTCTCCTCTGTGGCGAGACGCAGGAACATTCGGCTCCCTCTACGGCCGGTGACCAGCTCCGGACTGGCCGTAATAATAATAATAATAATAACTAACTAGCTAATAATGGCTTCTGGATGCTTGACTCTCTTATTATTTCTTCTTCTGCCTTGCTCGGCCTTGCGGCTCGACTCTTCCGGTTGATATGACGTCGTTGGTGCGTCTCACAAAGCTTGCCGGCCTGTCCGCATGGTTAACTACGATATCCCTGATTATTATTGTGCCCGCCAGAACAGGAGCAAAAAGTTAGCAGGGCCGGGGTTGGCTGCTGCCTCGTTACTCTCGCACAAGGGCGTTGGATGGACAGCGAGGATCCTCTCGAAGATAACTAGTTAATGGTTATATGACTGTCTCGCGAACCGATACGGGCTGCGGGTTGTGCTAGTTCTCTCAACATATATGGATGCAACTACGGCCTTAGCGGAACAGTTGCTCGCCCCGTCACTCCTGGCAGGCAGCAGGGCAAGCCCAGTCGCAACAACATCACAGGCTATTCGGATCACGGAGGAAAACATACTCTGATTCTCCGTGGTTCTGCATCATAAAGCAATTACAAAGCTCACCCGCCCAGTAGCCGGTGGGCCCAGAGAAGATCGCGTCGTTGATGACGCCCTTACCTCGCTTCCGATAGTGCCTGTACGTACGGCTATAACTATAGGCCTTCCTCGCCCCCTGCCGTTCACTTCTGCCTCTTTTATCTTAACGCAGCTAACGTCCTTGACTTTAGATTCGCTAATCAGTGACCCAATCCCTGCATCCGTTGGTGTTGGGACGTCATAACTCCGAACAGGGGTAAACCGCTCTCCTCTGGATACTTATCCGTCCCGGAGACCCCGCGGCAGTCCCCTCCTGAAAATTGCCAGAAGACGAAGAGAGTGAATGCTGGCTTGTTGCAGCAGTCACTGAAACCCCCAGAACTCTTACCTTCGACGAAACGCAATATTCAAAATGTCGGCCCTCAGGGATGCGATATCGAAAATCAAGCAGTCTGCCTCTGAATCTGACTTGATCCCCCACCGTCGCTCAAATCTTGGTGCTTTCCTTCAGGAGAAGGAATATGTTTACTCTAGCGATGACTTCAGTGATGATAACAGCGGTGTCTCCAGCAAGAATGAACAGAAGCGTGCTGCACGGCGCGAGAAAAAGGAGCAGAGCAGGTCCAGACTGAGCACGGAGACAAGAGACGGCTCAATGGACACTACGCGGTCGGAATTCAAAGGCAGCAATGATGGCTCTGCAGAGAACAATGATGATACTCCGGAGATGAAGGCTAGATACGGTGATCTTCCGATGATGCAGTCCAGAGACCGTCCGCGCGCGAATCTTACCAAGTTCGAGTCCATCACGGACGAGATGAAGGGCCAGGAGCTGATATTCCGTGCTCGTCTACATGTTGTTCGTCGCATGGGCGCAAAGTTTGCATTCCTAGTATTCCGGCAGCAGCTGCATACCTTACAAGGTGTTCTACATACAGAGCCTAAGTTGAGGTCGGCGAACATGATATATTGGGCTGAGCGCATTCCAGTTGGCTCAATATTGAAGGTGAAAGGACGTCTGAAGACACCAGACGTTCCTGTCTTTGGAACAACGATTCACAATCTCGAGCTCGAGATTGAAGAACTCCATGTTGCTGTACGCCGAGAGGAGCCAGTGCCATTCAGTGTATATGAAGCCGAACTTGCCGGTGCCCATGAAGAGCGGCTGGAAGGTGTACGCCAGAAGATACCCGATCGCACGAGGCTGTCCAACCGAATCCTCGATCTCCGCACTGATACCTCACAGTCTATCTTCAGAATTCAGTCTGCCATTTCTACTATGTTCAGGTCCTGCCTTGATGCCCAAAATTTCATTGAAATACATTCCCCCAAGCTGCAAGCAGCTGCCACAGAATCGGGAGCTAGCGTCTTTGGTGTGAACTATTTCGGTCGCCCTGCTTTCCTGGCTCAGAGTCCTCAGCTCGCGAAACAGATGGCAATCGCATCGGATTTTGAGAGGGTCTACGAAATTGGCGCGGTCTTTCGAGCAGAGAACTCGAACACACATAGACATCTTACGGAGTATACCGGATTGGATATCGAAATGGCCATCGAAGAGCATTATCATGAAGCCTTGGAAGTCCTTGACAGCGTGCTTAAATCTATATTCAAAACTATCTATGAAAAATATCGGTTGGAGATAGAGGTTATCAAGCACCATTTCCCATCCGAGGATTTAGTTTGGCTCGATGAAACCCCTATTATTTCGTTTGCTGATGGAGTCAAAATGCTGAATGACTCCGGCTGGGTGGATGAGAATGGCAACAAGCTATCAGAGACTGAGGACTTCGGCACACGGGATGAGATTAGGCTGGGTGAACTTGTCAAGGAGAAGTTCCATACAGATTACTATATCCTGGATAAGTTTCCGGCAACCGCCCGACCTTTCTATGCTATGCCACATCCGGATGATGAAAGATTCACCTTGTCGTTTGATATATTCGTTCGAGGACAGGAGATAGTTTCTGGTGGTCAGCGTATCCATCACCCTGACCTACTGGACAAACGAATGAGAGAAGTTGGAATCGACCCATCCACCATGGAAGAGTACATGGAAGGCTTCAAGTGGGGAGCTCCTCCGCATGCTGGTGCTGGAATCGGTTTAGAGAGACTTTTGATGCTGATACTGAAGCTCGGCAACATCCGGCTGGGATCTCTTTTCCACCGAGACCCAAAGAGCTTCCCTCGTCATGAGCAGCCTGTCACTCTCCGCCATCCAGAGGCATCAACCCTCCACCCTCCATGGCAAGACGAAAACAAGCCTCGCAATGCACCGGTTGATCCCACTCGAAAGTTACAGGCGTTGCAAGATCTTATTGCCAATTATGGAGATTCTACGTCTACCTCATGGCTCGACGATAGATATAAGATTTGGCGGGACTATACCACAGGTGCTGCGGTTTCCTACGTACCTTCGCATGGATATGCAGTTATCGCTGGAGACCCCCTTTGCGATACATCCCAGTACCGTCGCATTGTCGTATCTTTCCTCCAATGGCTGAAAAAGGAAACAAATCTCAGACCAATCTGGATCCTATGCTCTGCCGACGTTGAAGAAATACTCGGTGAACACCTGGGTTGGCGAAGTCTTTCATGTGTTGCTGAAGAACGAGTTGACCCTCAGCGCAACCGTGCCGCATCAGACGGTGAAATAGCCCGCAAGATTCGCCGGGCTGAACACGAAGGCATCAGGATTCACGCGATTACTCCCGGCGAACCCGTCCCAGATGACATTAAGGAGAAGATAAATGCTCGAATAGAGGACTGGAAGAACAATAGGAAAGGCACTCAGATCCATCTTTCTGAAATCACCCCGTGGCGCGACCATACTCATCGTCGATACTTCTATGCAACTGATAGCGAGGGCAAAATCTGTTCTTTCGTCGCCCTTGCGCAGCTGGCTCCTCGTCATGGCATGCAGGTTAAATACAGTCTAGATTTCCCTGGCTCCCCATCCGGTTCAATCGAATATATCATAACTCACGCTATTCAATCCGCTGCAAGCTCGGGTGTGAAGTCCCTTACATTCGGCGGTGGTGCTATTCCGCATCTAATTCCTGGTCATAATCTGAGCAGCGTCAAGGCGAAGGTGCTGCAGCACACATATGATACCATTGTCAAGCAGTTCAAGTTAACTCGGAAGACGGAGTTCAGGGCTAAACTTGGAGCGCACGAAGAGCCCGTTTATATCGCTTACCCACGCCATGGGCTGGGTACCAAGGGAATCAAAGCGATTTTGAACTTTTTCGAGGATTAACTTCATTTGATATTCTATACCTTTCCACTCACCCTTCCATTTTTTGGGGGCTTCTTTTTTGGTTTTTACATGTGAATAAATTGTAAAGATTTGAAATAAACAAATTTTGTATGGAATAATTGCTAATGAGTTACGCTTCTTACATGCTGACGACATCCCGAACCAGTTCCAGTTTTGATATCTCGTCCGCTCGGTCAATATACTGGTAGCCCTGGCTATACGTTGAGACCCTTGTCGTGTTAAGTATAGTCTAGAATGGCAAGCCAGCCTTGGGAGGCCTTGCATTTTATGGATGGACCGGATAAACGACGACGATCCATAGTTACCATTCAAGTCCTTTGAAAGACCAGGATACGACACTGAAAGGAAGTCCAGTCGCACCAAGGGCCAGAGAGGCTGACAGGGGGAAATGGCCCCCAGATACAATTTGCTTGTTCGAACGTATACTCGTAACGACGTCCAAGTAAGCCTTATCGACACCATCGGCATTCCCCATATGGGTCACACTCCGGCACATCCCAGGATAGTTTCTCGATAAACGGTGAACTTAGGCCTTCCCGAGAGATACACAGGCGACACCGGCCCTACCGAGAAGAAATAAGTATCGACAATGATCTTTTTATCCATACGAAATCCTTCATGCTTAGTTATGAAAACACAATGCGAATGCTCCCAACTTTTTCGGAAATTTTGAGCGATGAGGATTCGATATGCATAATTTCACTGCAAGGTAGTTAGACATACACAAGGCTATATTAATATTTTCGATCATATATAACTAGTTGGCGTGGTAAGGCTCTATTCTTCTACCATGTCTCCCACCTTTACATTCTTTGTGAGAGAATGAACATTTGAAGTCAGCTTCGGAACCTCTACCATTATTGCACGTCTGATTAAACCATCATCTTCCAAGGCCAAAGTGAGATTCAATGCTATATACTTTGTTTACCCTACGAGTGCTAACATTGAACAATAGTTAGAAGATTCCATCAATGGCAATAGAACTTGCTGGTGCAGGTGCAGCATCACAAACTGCACTCCAGTTAGCAGCTCGACGTGGAAACCATGACGAAGCAAAACTACTCTTGCGGACTGGAATTGATGCAAACTTCTCCCCTAAGGGGACAGAATATCCGCTGGCCTACGCAATCGAGTCTGGTGATGCAGAAACAGTGAAGGTTTTACTGGAATACGGGGCGAATATCCACCAAGCTTCCAAACGGCATGGGAATGCATTGATAGCATCCATTAAAAAAGGAGAAGAGGAAATATTCGACATATTTCTTGACAAATTCGATCCCAACTCGACTGACAGAGTGGGGGCTCCAGCTCTTTACGTTGCAGCCGTTGGTGGGCATGAAGCCATGGTGAATAAATTGATACGCCGTGGAGCTGATGTTCAAGCTTGCCATGACACGATATTCTCCCCTATCATGGGTGCCGGGCTAGGTGGCAGTAGCAGGATTGTGGAATCGATGTTGCAGAATGGAGCCAACAGCGACCATGCAGCCTTATTCGCGGCCTCGTCTGTTGGAGAAAATGAGCTGGTCACTCAATTGCTCCTTCGTGGCGCGGATGTTGGTCGACGCACATTACCATATGACCGCGATTTACCCATTCATGCGGCTATGCTTCAAGGCCATGAAACAACAGTTAGGATATTGCTAGCAGCCGGAGCAACACTTACCAGTCGATATTTCCCTTATGTTTTTCTTGAAACGGCATCTCGGAGGCACTTCGGGATTTCTAGGCTGATTCTAAACGAACACCTCAGTGGAAATATTCGGTTATGCTTAGGGACGAGCCCTTTTCCCAGTAGAAGCAGTCATATACCGATTGCTTTGCTACTTTCAACTCTCAAGGTGGGAGCGAGAACTGGCAACACCTCTTTAGCCTGGGAATTTGTTGAGCCATATGGTCAAACTACTATGGACTTCATGGACTATTTACTCACTCAGGACTCCATACGCCTTCCAGTTGATTCTCCCAAATCGGTCCTTAAAGCCGCTATCAAATATTGCAATGATACCCTGCTATCTTTCCTACTGGACAGTTTCGAAGTCAATATATCTAGAGATTTTCCCAACTTGATAGAGTTAGCCGTCATCAATGGCAGTGTCCCCACATTGGAGGTGTTGTTGAAGAGAACTACAGAGCAGGCCGGATTAAAAACACCTCAGTGGAAACTGTGCCTCAGTCGGGCCCTTAACACAGCTGTTGAGAGAAATAACTTCCATATGGTAGAACTCCTGGACCGTTACGGTACTTTCACTAAATGAATATTTTCTGCGGCTTATCTTCTTCTTCTATCAAATAAATGACAACCACAATGGAATAAATTATGGTATACTTCTCTCGAGCCATGAAGATTCTGGTCGGTTGGAGTTGTGAAGTGAGGAGTAGTGTTATAGCTAGGATCTAGATCCCGCTCTGTATGGTTTCCAAGTCCCCAAGAACGAATTGGGCCCATATATCCACCCCCTTCAAAATTATACTATCAGCAGGAATGAATAGTGATTTTCGTTGACTCCGGATGGAGTTCCAATGATGGTTCACTGGTAGACTTGCGCCAATGGCCTGCCAAGCCAGAGCTCCGAGTCGCTGGACCTCTTTGAAGCCAAATTCAACCTCCGCGAGGTTTTTGGCAGAGAAGACTCCATCAAATTCTGAGTATGTTCGATATAGTACTGTGACGGCCGCAACGATTTGGAGAACAACTTGAGCCAAAGACACCCGCTGAGCCGGTCGTCTCGGCGGCTAAATTGGGAATATAGTTGGGTCGACGACGGCTAGAACAAAGATGTCTCTCAACTGTAGTAATAACTAGTCTGTTTCACAATCAAACTTTACCATGGTGTATTTGGTTCTATTCAGGAGTCACTTACAACGTAACCTAACAGAGCTTCGCAGGGCCATATCATCAATAGACCCTTCGTAAGGGCAGCAAGAGAGCCGATATTTGTCGCGTTATTGGATATCTATTAGTTCTCCCTCGATCAATAAGTCTCTTCGAACTTGCCTAGCCTATTGCTAAAACAGTGGGTGCTATTATAACGGTTAAGTTAGTTAACTAGTTATATAATAGAATAGCGAGGGCTTTGGATTGAGTTACTTATGGGTCCAGCTTTCTATTGCGAAATTTTCGCCATTGTATCTATCCGTGCTCTGCAGTAAGAGGAGCGTTAGCAAAAATGTAGCAAATGATTCGCTTGCTATATCACCTTATAACTAGCCGTTCTTAGTCTAGATTTACGCACCGTTAGAGAGACGGAATAAAATAAATCGGCCTCAAAAGGGGGCACCAATACCTCTGAATCAACGGTGATCAGCCAGTTTGATATTTTGAATCGATCTTTGCTTCTGCGTGTTTTCAACATGCATACTAGTCACCAGCACTGCGTAGAAGTGTCGGTTCTCGCCGGTGGTTGCCGGGTCGCCAGCCTACCCCGGCTGGCATACAAATCCCAATACTGTATGCCCCCTAAAAGAAGAGATTTAGAAGGATTCCCAAACAAGTTTGGCCAACTCCTCTAACTCGGTATTATTAAATATAATATCACCCTGGTTTCTAATCGCGGTTCGAAGGAAGAGATCAGCAAAGGGAATAATTAAAGGATTGCCGACAATATGAATAGGGCTGTTCTGCCCGCGTTTCTCGATAGTAATAGTTTGGGGTATTGTCGCCCTTGTGATTCCAGAGCGACCATATCTTCGAATTGTGAGTTCGGTTCGAGATACTTGGATAGTAAGGACTATCTTTACATCGCCAGCGGATTTCTGAATCCACCGTCTTGCCACCCTGTCAAGGTCACTATGGCTTTGTGATTTCCCCGTTTCCACAACGAGGGTTGGCCATTTGCGAGTCCTCCCTAGGGGAAGATTACGCGGCCGGGCGGAGTAGTCGGGCTCCTTGTGCTCAATAGTTGTAGAGCCAATGCTCACGAGATATGCATGAAACCTCATGCCCATTGATGAGATTTTGACTACCAATTCATCATGAAGCCATTCTGTGGCTACTTCATGTGGCTCTGACAGCATTTTTGCAACCAGTAGTCTGGAGATTGGAAAATATTCCCTCTTTCTAATGCGTTTTTGTTTTGTGTTAAGGAGGATGAGGCCGTCCACAACATTATAGAATACGCAGTACCCGCCGCTCCCATTATCAACAGAGCGGGCTGCGGTTTCCATCTGAGACGCGCTTTCATATTTAAAGACAGGAGTGTCTTTAGGCAAGCAGCTTAGGGCAGCTTCAGCCTCACTATCCCTGGGGTGGCACTTTTCAAATCCGAGTTGCAGCTGCCGCAGGAAATTGTCCACGCTTTGGGGAGGAAGAGTCATGATATTCTTCTATGCCTTTTTTTCCCCTTATTTTCTTTTATTTAATCTCTCTCCCTCTATCTGTTCTCAGAACGAGAAATAACTTCAGTTTGCACTAGGGGTATTGTACATATGTAGATAAATATGTGGTTGGAGATAATTTATTTTTATTCGTGCCTTTGGCTCTTTTATAAGCTTATAAATAAGGTTATAAATAATTCAAAGTATAGAAGTAAGGTTTTATTTAGCTAGCTTCTTAATATATTGTAAAAGAGCTTCTTCCTAAGTAGTGAGTAGTTTCTTTTAATAAATAGATATAGCTTTTAGCTCTTAATACTACATTACCTTAATTACTACTTTATTAGCTATTTTATAAATATTTATAGATAGTGGATAGTGGGAGTGTAAATTTTCAGTTGTGTGTTCGTTAAATAACTAGTTAATAGTGCTTGTTGATTGGTGGGTTACGTTAGTTAACTACTTCACTAGTGTTTATTCCGTATATATTTGCAAAAACCCTGTGTATTGTCTCCCGAGTGAACGTTCATTCTTTAGCTTACCATTATCGAAGTAATCCGTAGTGTCCGTCTTAGTTTGCTGGCTCTAGGAGTTAACATGGAGCGGCCAAACGCTGAAAACTGTTAGCTAAGTGGATAGATACAAGGGGGTAGTGATGTCGAGCATGCTAAACGTCAAGTCGGAATTTTCGCTCATAACCGGCGGGACAGCACCCTAGTTCTGGAGTTGGCTATTCCAAGAGATGCAGCTGTGGCAAGTTCACTTGCCTCTTTTCCCGCCGTAACATATTTTCATTCTTGGGAGAGTGAATGTGCGGATTTGGTCCCGGCTCTCATCCTTAACTAAGGTTTCAACCCCCTGGTAGAAGCAATCAAGGACAATCGGACCAAATCAAAACTACTGGTTCGCCACTATCGACACGGATATCTCGCAGTGTTTACGTCTAGAAGAAAAAAAAAAAAAAAAATACATTTTTCTTTTGTTTTTTGTTTTTAGAGAATTCTGGGTAATCAGTGATATTTTGTATTCAGCGAGCACAAGCATTTCAGGTAACAGGATAACACGTTGCTAGATACACGTAACTAGTTATAGACAGAATATTGGGCGCGACAATATGCAGGTAAAGGTCGGATTGAACTGGGCCGCCGTATATATATGAACTTATCAGACAGCCGCTCAACCCCACCACCATGGATAGTAATCAAGAAAAAGGCGTGAAAGAAAAATGACAGAAAGATGTGACGGCAAAAAGCAAAAGACAAAACTCAAAAAGTATGTACAAAGCTCCTCCAACTGGAAAAGAAAATTAAACTATATAAAACCAGCGTGTATGCACCGTCCACCACCACATTGAAAGGAGAAAAAGGAAAAGTTCATTGCCACCTGCAACGGCAGAGGTATTTAGTCCCGAGATCTTTCTAGTGAAGGAAGATCTTGGTCTGAGTCCTTGGCGAGAACTGAGATATATATATTTACAGAAGACGCGAAACATGCAGGGACATCGAAAGGACATTGAGAGGCATAAAAATCAAAATGTGTAGCGTGGGATATAGTAAGTGTGGTGAATAAAAGAATCATATCCATATCCCTTGGATTATAAATAGAATTCTTATGTGTTTAAACGAGATGGTCGGAGGTCACATTAAGAGAGGTGCCAAAGAAAGTAGACGAGCATGTGGAGTAGAAAGCAGCCAGCTTGGAGCAAATATGCTTGAGCGAAATGAACTGACAAAAACAAAAACCTATCCCTGGGTATGGCGGTTGACTTATGTTGATCCTGGGTTGGTATCAGCGGCAGTGACTCCACTCATGGTATCTTGCTTTTCAACTTGGGCATCAGAGATCTGCAATGAATTTGATTCAGAGCCTGACGCAGGAACAGGAGCTTGCGCAGGAATATGACAAGGAGACTCATTGCAGGATTTTGATTCTGCCGCCTTGAGCTTGGCCTTGGTGTCTTCTAGTTCTTGTTTCAATGCCTTGATATAAACGATAGCCATTTCAACTGTGCTCGCCTTGCTGATGGGCTGATTCGTAGAAGGTTTATCGGGGACCTTCGAAACACCAGTCGAGGAACCATCAGCGGAATCTTTATTTTGCTCCTTTTCCTTGGCTCTGTGAGTTAATGAAGTTGGTAATAAGCTTTCAATCTCTTTGAGGGCGGAATTTATGCGATTTCGGCGACCTTGCTCAGCAAGTTTATGGTTTGTTCTCTTGGAGCTTAGATTCTCGGCAAGGGCTTCTGGGTACGTTACTCCTGGTAGGAGTGTACCTTCAAGAATATGTTGGTAATTTGATTTTGAGGCAAGATGTAAAGCCGAGGTTTCGCTTGATACACCTGTTTAAAGTCAGTACAAGGAATGAAAAGCAGCATATATATAAAATAGTGGGAATAAGAAAGGGTAAGAGTAGTAGTACCGTCAGCACGAATGAGAGGTTGTATGCTCGGACTAATTTTTGGTCTCAGTGCTGGACTCTGGGCAGCGCTCATTCCCTGGCGTTTCTTTGTCACTCGAGAACTCTGTTTCGAATCGGATCGCTTGAGACCAACCGGGCCGCTGGGTGATCCTTTTGCTTTTATTATAGGGCTTGGGGTAACGGAGCTTGTCCCTTTTAGTTCCGATATCGATTCAGTGCGCGGTTTTATAGTGTGCGGCAGTTTGGCGTGGATGGTCGGCGTGCTTTCACCACTTGGCACTCCCTGGAGCGAAGCAGGTTCAGGGAGTGATATGTCCTCCATGTGCTCCTCTGGTGCCGACCCGACAACAACCGTTCCATTCCTAGAGAACTCTCCATCCATGCCAGGTGAGATTTGCTGCTTTTGTAATTTCATGAGGGTAGCCGGAGTTGCTACTTCGCTCATGGTAGTGGGTTGATCTTGGGCACCCATGTATGGCGATTTTCCAGATCTTGGTAAAGCGGGTGGTGGCATCAGCGGCTCCGTAAGTGGCTCAGGCGAGACAGAGTCTAGACCGGATCCTTCATTGCTGCTGGAATTGCGCGAATTTGAAGTTCTGTTAGCAGCGGCCTGAGCCGAGAGCTTTTTCGCTCTCGCGCGGGCTTCAGCTTCAGTCTGCGGTCGCGAACGACCGTTTTGAGGTCTCACCAAGGGAGACTGTCGTGATAGTCTAGAGGCCTGAGACTTGCGTCGTTGTTTCTGAATGAGCTTCGGAGAGTTCGTTAATGGGCCCGTTGTTGCCGGATGTTGATGCGAAATGTCGGTCGGCGATGACAACATGGAACCATAGTCCATATGTGAGCCATTGGGAAAATTAAAACCGGCTCCGTTTGATTGCCGTGCCTCCAAAGCTGGGGATGTAAGTGGGCTCAGATACTCCCCCGGAGTGGTGTATTCAGGGAACCTTAGCTGATGTTCTAACGGGGTCATGGCTGGTGACATGAGAGGAGTAAATGAGCTCTAGATAGTATGTTAGTTGTTGGTTCCATGGACGAGATAGCTTGAAGTAGAGTAACATTTTTAATAGAGATAAGTGGATGAACTTACCTGATCTTCCAGTCCTCTGGTAAATGGTTCATATCCTCGCTGGTGTCCAGTCTCGAGGCGGAGGTTATAGTTATGCGATCCACCGTGCATATCGGCGCTATCAGGCGTTGGTGGAACAAACGACTGACGCTGGCCATAATTTGAATTATAAGCATTTTGAGAGTGCTGCTGTTGTTGCTGCTGGTGATGCTGCTTCATATAAAAGTGCTGCTGCTGCTGCTGCTGCTGCTGCTGCATTGAATTGGAGCCTTGTATCTCCATTGGCGTCACAGGTTCGCTTCCTGCCATTGTGACTGAGGTTGGATAATGCTGCTGCTGCTCTTGTAGGGGTTGGCTGGTGTTGATATGTTCCATCGAAGTCAACCCACTAATATCCTGCATTCCGGTCGTTGAGACAAGTGGCGGCGCCGTCGTCACCATATTCTGGTTCTGACGCTCACCATTATTACCACCATCAAATTCGGCAAGGTCAAAGTTGAAATCGAGAAGACTGGTATAGTCCTCTGCCGTGGTAGGGATCATGGCTGCGGCAGCTTCATCAGGGACGTGCTCTGGCCATGACGGCAGAGACGGATCTTGATTCATCTCAAGAGCTCTCGGTCTCTTCGCTTAACAGACTGATACTCTAAGTTTCATGCGATGCGACGGTAGGTAGGTGTGTATTGAAGCAGCGCGCTTCGTCGAGGTCGGGTTTTAATGCTCCTGGTCCAAAGGTGTTTTTGGAGGGGTCTCGTTCTTACACTGCGGACGTACGGTAATCTCTGCGGGGGTTGGGATGTGCGAGCTGCTTCACAGCAACTGTTCTGTGCGATCGAGTGTCCGTTCGATATATGTCCAATGGACGCAGCGATGGGCACACGACAGAGAAGAGGCAAGCAGAGCGAGAAAAGACGGGCGAGACGGCGAGATATGGATATGCAGAAACGTCGCAGCAGGCCTGGCGACGGAGTGAAGGCGAAGAAGAAAAGGTCCTCGAGGGAAAAGAAACGGGCGACAATAGGCGAGAGGGACTGCAAATTAGATAAGCGGGTCGGGTAAAGGTATTTTTAGGTATTTCCACATAGAGAGTCCGCGGCAAAGATACTTTAGGGTACAAGCGCCGGCTAGGGCGCTAGGCTGTGATGGGCAAGTCACATGGCAGAGCCCAGTCAATTTCCCGATCAGGCCTAGCCAGAGACGGAAAAAGCAACCTCAGCTCAAGGATTCCGCTGCAAAGACGCGAAGATGCAGGACGAACAGGAGATGAACTGTTCAGTCTGCCTTGTCATGGGTCGTCAAGCTCGTCTACGGTGCTGGACAGCAGGAGGCCAAACGTTGCTGGCCAGAAAATGTTTCGAAGGTGTTCAAGAACGCTCACCGTCGGACGAGGGCCTCCCCGTTGTACAGCCGGGACTTAGGGAGGTTTAATCTTCCCACCCGTCTCAGGAACGAATGAAGCTTACTCATACGGAGCAAACAGCTTTTTCTTTTCGCCAAACTCCGTACAGAATTTTATATA